GTAAACAAAGATGGTAATCTCCTTTAACTTGAAAACTAAAAATATGGGTAAGGAAGATATGTTAACAAGATTTGAGCTCAACACGATTTTAAGCTTGAATTCAATATTAGATTTCGATATGATTCCTGGATATGTAGACTAATTTAGGATTCAATAAAGATTACAGAAATATGTATATCAGAAAAGTAGTCGGAAGGCTACACATCAATGTATACCTATTCAGAAAATCTGTCTCAGAACCTCCAGTTCTGTCTATATATTAATTTAATTTATAAATTTATATTTTAGGCTTAAAACCAGTTATATTATTTGATTATAAACTTAAAAAATATACTTACAGATGAAAATTAAAATAATTTAAAATAAATAGTAAAATTTCTTAAATTATTTAAAGGAGTAATAATTATAATATCTAGATTTATTAATTTTACAATTTCTAATATTATTCTTTTATAATCTTTTATTGATTATACAGAAGATATTATTAATAATAAAATTAGTTATTAAAAAATGTAAAGAAAAAATATTAGAATATTATAACAAAATAAATAATATATATTTATTTGCAACTATTTTAGATTTAAGATTAAAATTATAATATTTTAAAGATAAAAAATGGGATAATGAATTAATAAATACAATTTAAGAAAGATTAATTTTTTTTTATTTTCTTATAAGATTTATGATTATATTAATAATATTTATTTATTTTTAGTTTTTATTTAATTATAATACATATTATAAATTAAATAATAAAATAACTTCTAATATATTATATAAAAATAAAAAATACATTTATTATTTTAAATATATTTAAATATTATAAAATCATAAATATAAATGAAGCCTAAATATATCTTGTTTTATTTATATGTAATTAAAAATCAGATCTACTTGAATAGTAGAAAATTAATAAAAATCAATATTCAAATTTATCAAAAATAGTAAGATATTATTATCAATATTTATTACTAGTATTTTAATTAAATATATTTTTTTAATATTTAAAATTTAATTACAAATAAAAGAAATTGTTTATTAGAAAAAATAGTAAAATTTTATAAACTGATTTTTAAATGATTCAAATAATTAATAATTTAATTAAAAAAAATTTTTTTTTAAAAAAAATTATTTTTATTTTTATATATATATTATTTTATTTATTTATATATTTATTATATGATTTAAATATTTATTCTTATATTTATGTCAATAAAATTTATTATTATATATTGCATAAAATTTTATTAAATTAAAAAATAAGATTTTAGATTTTTTTAAAGTTAAAAATCATTTTTTAATAATAAAAAAAAATTTCAGCAATTTAAAATTAAAAAATTATTTTTTTTTTCAATAAGAAGAACCATTTTCAAATCTTTTTTAAACTAAAATTTCTTTTTTATGAAAATAATAATTTTTTCAGTTACTTTTAGAACTAAAAATTTTTTTTTTTTATAAAAAAGAATGATTTTTCATACATTTTTTAAAGTTAAAAAGGTTTCTTTCATTAAAAAGGATGACTTTTGGATTTCTTTTTATTAAAAAAAATGATTTTTTAAATACTTTTAGGTTAAAAAATTTTTTTTTTATTGAAAAGAAACATTTTTAGATTTTTTTTTTTAAAATTGAAAAATTATTAGATTTAAATTTAAACTAATTTATTAGATTTAGATTTAAGATTTGATCTATTAGATTTAAATCAGATCTGAATTTTAATAGATTTAGATTCTAAAAATGAAAATCAAATCAAATTAAATTTGAATAAAATTTGAATTAATTTAATTTTACAAAATATTACTTATTATATAATCTAAGTACTACAGTCAACTCTTATTATAATGAATTCTATGTCTTAGACCTCAACTTCACTATAAGGTTATAGTGAAAATTTTAAGAGATTTGATTGACTAATTCGCTATAACAAGAGTATTTTTATTATATTTGTTCAAAAAATTCGTTATATCAAGAGTTCGCTATATCAAGAGTTAATTGTATTTATATTAATAGTAATAAATAAGTACTTATTTTATAAATTACAACAAATTTATTAATTCTTTTGTTTTTAGTTATTAATTAAAAAATAGAATTTCTTTATAATTTTCAATATAATAAATATAATATTTTATTATGAATTAATAATTTTTTATAAATTATTTTTTATAAAAAAAAATATTAATAAATAATTCTTTATTAAATATAAGAAAATATAATATAGAATTTCTATTTTAACATTTTTAATTAATTTAATTAAACTTTTATCTTAAAAATGTAATGAATAATTTAGTAAAATAATTTTAATGTATTTAATTTATTTTATAAAATTCATTAATTTTTAATAATTAATTTATTTAATATTACTATTTTTATAACTAATGTTTACTTTAAAAATCAGACAAGAGTTTTAAAAATAGTAGTATTAACTTTTATACAATATTTAGGATGTTAGTATAAAAAATTCATATTAGCTAAATCAATTAAAACATATTATAAATAAAATATGTAAAATATATATTATTGATTGCATTAATTAAAAGATTACAAATCATATTAGATATAAAAAATTTGTAAAAAAGCTTTAAAAATTAGGAATTATAAGCGATTTAATGAACTTAACATAAAAAAGTAACAAGTTTGGAATCTTATAAATTGCTTAAAGTATAAGAGCAAGTTGATCATTTGGTAGATAATTTACATAATAATAAAGAAACAAAGTATAATATGAAACTTATTTAACACATTGATATTTAAAATATTGTAATACTAAAAAGAATAAAGGATTCCCGCAGCTAAAGAAGATTAGTTTTTCAAAATATTTGATTGAATTTATACATTTTAATAAATTTTAACTTTTGCTTTAATCTCAATGTGGAATATCAATATAAAATTAATATTGTAAACGTTTAAATGTTTATCATTTTATTGCTATTATGATATAACAATATTGTACACAGATAAACCAATATTATACGATGATTAGCTATTGATGCAAGATATAGTAAAATATTGGTCAAACAAACTTGGCATGACCCTTTAGGACCGTGCGATAGAAAATATTATTTTTAATACACTACATTTTGATATACAGTAATATAAACAAACATAAACATATTTATATTAATAAAATAAAATCATTTTCAGAATAACCCATTTCAGATAATGTTTGCTCAACAATCGTTATCATTCCCGGTGGACCACACACTATAATTTTAAAGTTTGACAAATTCATTATAGCATTAGAAGTCGAACCTCGCATTTTCTCATGATTTTCTTCATGCCCTTCATGGTTATATAATGGATGATATGAAGTGGGTGATCTATGTGATGGTGAATGCAAACTATTTGAATCTAGAGGAGCAGGTTTGTGTCGTGTTGTTTCAATTTGTGGAAGATTAACTCTTGACGTTGGTTCTTCCGTAATTGTTTGAGGACATGGTGAAGAGTACCCTTGATATTTAGGCGACGAAAGAAGATCATCACGAGATGATAACGATGGTTTGGCAGGTATTGGTGGAGGTTCGTCACATATTAACGTTGTTTGTTTAGGTAAATCATATCCATGCGCACGTAAAGTATTGCACTTATGTATATCTCCAAATTGTGATACAGATGATGTGCTTAACCATTTTTGTATTATTCCCGGGTTAATGTGTCCTTGTAAACCTGACCATCCTTCGGGTGGGTTCGAAAGAACGTAACTGATTGTAAGCATTCCTCTACTTGAAAATGAATATTCTTCTAATCTTATACCATCAATTACATCTTCGATAGTTCTATTACCAAATAATAAATGCATATGAATTCTTCTATGACTTTTTCCAGTTTCATCATTACTTTTAATATGTGCAAGGTGATATCTAATTAACTACAATAAAAATATAACTCATCAGCATTTTTTTTTTTATAGAAATATATATATAAATTAATTTAATTGATTACATACCTGCAACATTGGAGTTATACCGGTTCCTCCACAAATCATGAATAATTCGTCCCAACATCCATCAAAACTATTTGGATTTAGCAAAGAACCTTTTAATGGTGATGAGGGGGAAGGAGGCACGAGAATACTAGATCTTCTCATTGTTTCTCCTTGTAAACTACCGAGTCCAATTCTATCTGAAACGTCAAAGGGTCCACGAACTTGAATTTCGAACCCTATCAATTGTTCATTCTACAAAATTTAAAACATAAAAAAAAAATTAATTAAAGAAATTAGCGACAAAAATTAAATGTTTCGAATATAATTTGAATTTACCAAATGTTTTGACATTAATCCATTAGGATAAACTTTAACATAAATAGAAAATGATTTTGACAATTTTCCTTCAATAGGAGTATAACTTCTAACGACAACCTGTCCTTTAATACGAGATTGTACTTCGATAAATTGTCCAGGTATAAAGGGTTCATTCCATAAATCATTATTATCTTGATGAACTCTGGTAAATATCAATCTCATAACTGGGTATTTTTTGTTAGCACTAACAGCTGATTTACTTGTTAATTTATATCTACTAAATTTAATTCTCTGATTTAATTCTTGGGTCGTCGCAAATTCATCATCAAAAAATCTAGTATCTCTGCGTTTAGTATCTCTATTAGCTCCAAATGTTGGTGAACTTG